TTTTTTTTTATTGGGGGGGGGGGGGGGGGGTTGAAATTGCCTGGTATGAAACAGAGCCCCTACATTTCAGCCAGGGAAATACAATCGAAATCGGGCTCAACACAGAGCTGCTGCGCCACTCCATTGATACCTGAGAATGATGTCATCATGCTGAAGGTGTCAGCCACCCCCCCATACCCATTTCACTTGCATTATCTTGCACACACATCTCTGCAGGAGCTTTTATGGGAGTGGAGTGTGTTTAGCAGAGGGATGGTGTTTGCACAGATGGTTATGGTTCACTGTTGACAGAGCCGAAGGGGGTGATGTCAACCGCAGTGGAAGCTTGATTCATGTTGGTGTCCACAAATAATGCTGGGGTGACACAACTGCCCCACAACCGGCTTCTCCCAGTTATTGTTAGCCATTAAATTATATTCTCCCTACTGTCGGCCACAAACATTAATATCGTCTTGTCACCCAGTACACTATTTGCCATCACCATAAAGTATTGGCATAATGACATAAATGACTAGTGGGGAAAAAGGTCTATAACCTACCTAAAAAATGTCACTTAACATAATGATGGGCTAACTTGTCAGCTGACTGAGCTCACATTTTCAGGTATGACTGTTAATAGCTGGAAAACCACATTTTCCCTTGATTTTATTTTTTTCTCCTTTTCACATGTCTCATCATTATATATCTGGATAACTTCCTCTCCTCCACTCTCCTCCTGTGTCTCTGCAGTCAGACGGTGGACCTGCTGATGCAGGAATCAGGCTGCAGACTGGAACACTCCTCAGCTACCAAGTTCCGCAACCATGTCATGGAAGGAGAGTGGGACAAGGTTAGTATTTGTTTACAGTGACTACATAATAGGAAATATTCTGGGCAACATGGAATATGTGACAGTGAAATTTCACTTCAAAACGCAGAGCTAGAATACATACAGTATCTTTTCAGATCAGTCTCGTCTCATATTAATTATCAAGCAAAGCTAAGTTTATGAAAGCAGCAGGTGGTAACATAGGTGAGTTCAAACAGCAGTCTGTACGGGGCACAGTTATGCAAACCCAGCAGCATGAACTTGTTTAATTTTTAATGTTGAAGCCCGCAGGACAACCCTCTGTGGCTGAGTAGAATGAACAGAAATTTAAAGGTGACGTAAAATGCTTATTAAGGCGTCTTTATGTAATTGGCTTTTAAATTGCCAGTTTATTTTATTAGCGCTTGATCCAGCACTTTACAGCAGACCCATAAAAGTGTTAATGCCGGTAGAAATGAATCTCCTGGTGTAACGAACCTACATTGGTTTAGAGCACCTGTGGTCAAAATTAGACTAATACACAAGCAATTTGTTTTGATTCCATAAAGTTATCTACAAAACGGTAAAAGTAGCTGGTAGTTTGAGATTTGACCTTTACATTTTGATCACTGCACAGTTGCATTGTCAAAGCCTTATAGATTAGGTGACCATAAAATCTGTATCACTGTTTATATAATTCGTTTTTGGGTTGTTTTTTTTTCTTGTGCATGCATGGAAAGTGCTGAGCTAACGATTTCTCCCTCTTTCTCTCCCCTCTGTCACCCTCCTTTTGTTTCGGTGCAGGCTGAGAATGATCTCAACGAACTGAGAGCATTGATGCATTCTCCCAATGCTATTGTGGTAAGCTCCCTTTGCCCAAACCTGAACTGGACTGAATGACAAGTCAGTCAGTTAGCAGGCACAGCTGGACTTTCCAGAATGACACAGTTATAGAGCAGATTCCTGTTGTGGACAGCGCCACAAGAAGGAGCGAATCCACATTTAGATTTAGAGTAGTGTACTGGATACTGTTTTTAAGCAGAGTGTGACTCCACATTGCAATGCTGTTGGGGTTTTTTTTTTTTTTTTACATAGTGTCTTTACATTGATTATAACTAATAATCCACCAGTGTGTGAATGTGAGAGTTAATGAATAGTGGAATTGTACAGTGCTTTGAGGGCCCCGAAAAGCGCTATATAAATGCAATCCATTATTATTATTATTATTATTACTATTAATAGATTTAAAAGCTATGTTTTGGTTTGATTCTTGCTATTACAGCTTTGTTTTTGCCAGGTCAGTCAATACTGGGAGCAGATATGAGAGATCAAGAATTTCCATTACAGAACATGGTTTAAAAGAATTAAATATGTATACATTTAACAGCACATTGAGCACATATCCATGTCAGCTACAGTATTTAACAGAAAAGACTGCAGTTGTGTATTTCTGCAGTACACAGTACATCTATCAGGGCCTTTAATGTTGAATACCACTGATCCACAAACATTTATTCCTGTGAAGATTAGTATGGGAGTAAATACTCTACAGTATCAGTTTGGTAATGAGGCTCAGCTCAGACTAATTATCCCTAGCTAGCATGCTAATTAGCAACAAGATGAGCTCCAAAAATACTTCAGAGTCAAGTGCCTGCTGCTCTGTGTCATAAGGTTTCTAACAGCCATTCCCTGCTGAGTTATTGTGAAAATGGATGTAGCTTTTTAATGTTTTTTGTTTTGTTTTGTTTTTTTTTCCCTTCATAACGCCATTTTAGTTCTTGAGTTGAGATTAGCATTGTCATAGTCAACATGACATTCACAACAGTTCTGGAGCACAGTTTGCTCGTGTCACGGGCCTAAGGGGGAGAACTCTGAGATGTGTGTTTCTGCCCTCTTTATTTACAGAGTTATGTGGGTGGATTTTGTGTAGTCGATATGAGTGTGCTTGCTGTACTTGCATACCTGAGATAGGATGGAGGCGCTTAACACCGCAAATGACATCGCTAAACTGCAGCAATGTGTAAACACTATAAAAGAAATGGTGATGTTAATATTACCATATGTGCTCTGCATATTTGTAAATATATTCTAATAATGACAAATTGATTTTTTTTTTTAAATTATATTCTACCACTAATTTGGGAATGTTTAGGTTTTTTTGCTTCCTTAAAATGTGGTACTTTATCCTTTTTTATGATAAAGTTATGCAAACTAGCTGTCATGATATATATGGTTAAAATCACTCCCTGTCAGTGTCAAAGCAGTAGTTTAAGCTTATTTGTCATTCTTTTATTTTCTCCTTACAAACAGAATGCCAGTACACTCTGATAAATGGTTTTCATTGTTGTGGTACAAAAAAGAAACATGTTTCAGCTTGAAGGCATTATCCACGTAATTCAAAACAACAATAAATGATAACCAGGTGAGCTTTAAACGTCACTCAGTAAAAAGAATGCATAATTGCTTGATAGGGTGAAGCACACAAAAGGCCTTTTTTATTCCTCAGCTAGAAATCCAGTATGATGTATGTTGCCAAGTATTTCAAGGTGTATGAGTATTGCTTCCTCTTTGAAGGTGTAGTCACGCAGATGCATTTCTGTTATGGAGGGAAGCATATAAGTGTTAAATGTTACAATCTGAGTCCAAAAGGTTTGAACAGAGATCTGTTGTTGAGCCGTTTCTTTTATTTTATTTATTAGTATTCCATATTTTCACTGTGCAGATGCATATATCGGTGCCACTTATTTTTGACTTTGATTGTAAAATGTTATAAAGAGCTAATAAGAATTTATGCTATTGTTGGACAAGGTCAGGATACGTCTTATTTTTGTTGGTGTATTTTTCTGATATTTTCAGTATATGTTAATATCTAAATGAGTTTGTTTTTTTTCATCTGTATATTATGATAAGAATGTTACTATGGGATGGGGACATCTGCTCTTGGGTGATAATGTGGCTTTAGCTACATGAGATTCCTAAAAAGTACTTTGCAACACAGAACACATATTATTGTAGTTTGGAACACCTCTGTGCGAGTCTTTATTCATTTATTATTATAGATAGTTTCATATTTTTAATCTAACTTATTTTCAGTTATAAAAACTGGATGGGGTTTCTGGCTCTGGCAGTCATGTTTTCTTTCTGAGAAATCTTTGCTTGCTGGGTATTGCATTTATTGATTCATCCTATCATGCAATTATATATTCTCTTTAATGTTTGATGTTTGAACCTTTTCCCAAAATTAGAACGAAGGCTTTGTTAGCTGGCGCCAGCCTTGTTTGTTTTGATATTTGCAGCTATGGGAGACTTGGTGCATTGAACGTTTGGAATTGAGTACTGTTGCTGCTGTTCTTTACTATTTATTTCTTCCTCCTGTATGTTTTTGGTGTTTATAGATTACCTTCTCTATACCTGTGCTTCTCTTCTTTCTACTCAGCGTATGAAGTTCCTGCTGCTGCAGCAGAAGTACCTTGAGTACCTGGAGGACGGAAAAGTCTTGGAGGCTTTGCAGGTCCTCCGGGGAGAGCTGACGCCGCTCAAGTACAACACAGATCGCATCCACGTACTCAGCGGGTACTGTTTAATGTTACCTCTGGCTTATAGCCATCATCAGGATGTTCACCCTGTCTGCACAAATACACACCTACTAACCACCCATATAGCTATTGGAGAGTCCTGTAGATGCTAATGGTACGCCTGTTTGGTGATTTACTTGTACCAAAATCTGCACCTGTATAAATATTGTTTGCTAATAATTAAGGGAATATTAAATTGTCTTACATTATGATAATTAATGAAGCTTAAGCTGTTGAATTCACTGTAAAACGTCTATATGGTAAATGATTTTAGTAGTAATTTTCACAGTGCAGTTCTTGTCACGCTTACTGTTTTATCTCCAGTAATAAAACAATCATGGATCTTTTTGCTTGATCTGCAAATGTTAGTCAGCTCTTTTTAAAAAAAAAAAAATCAAATACCTGAATGTAACAAGTTCATCTTAGACCCTTCAAGATGCTTTATTTACCACATCAGAAAGTTTGCTAAATTTAGTCTAAGTTAAAATCTGTATTTAGTTGTCAGTGGTTGTAGTTTACGGCCATTCTTATCACTATTTTAAGCTCCTGTTTACTTCCTGGTGATAAGATGTCTTTTTAAAATTGTAATAATCCTTCATGGATGTTATGATGTCCTCTCAGTGTGTTTTTTGCTTAAACTGCGTTCTTGTATGTTGTTTCAGGTACCTAATGTGTAGCCATGCTGAGGATCTTAGGGCCAAGGCAGAGTGGGAGGGCAAGGGCACGGCTTCACGCTGCAGGCTGCTGGATAAACTACAAAGTGAGGAGGCATTTCCATAACTGACCCTGTACAGCTAACAGATGTTGTC